AAAGGGTGTTGATGCAAATCGTCTCTAAACCTTAAACCTTAAACTCTAAATCTTATATCTTTTCGCTAATTATTCATGTGGTTCTTGAATATGCATTTTATTGGGATTTTCTCTACAAAGTTATTAATGATTGATTATTATTTAATTGGGTCTTAATTTAAAAATAAGAATTTAAATTATACCATAAAAAAAGAATTTAGTCTCTATTTTTTTAAGTATTTATTATTTTCGACGTTACACTTTTAAGTGCCTACACAGTAACGACCTTAAAAAAATGTTAAGTAACACGTTTCATATTTATATTTTGGCTTAATACAAAATAAATGCTCAAACTATACTCTAAGTTAACTTTAAGTGCATAAAAAATTCGTTAAAAATATGTGTTTAAGAGTAATGGCTGTTAAAAAACCATTAAGTTTATATTTTTTTATTAAAAAACTTATTAATATTATTAATTAAAAAATGTTTTTTTCTTTCTAAAATTACAAAAATATCTACAACCCTAAAATCTCTCATTTTAACTCGATTACTAGTTGTCGTCATCCATCACCGATAGCTTTCGTCATCGTCAAACTATCACTCACCTGTCATCGGACCTCTATTATCGACCATTTATTTTGTTGTCCTCTCAACCCCCTTAAATCCATAAATCCAAACTTAAATTCCTAAACCTAATACCTAAATCTATAACTCTAATCCTAAATTTATCATTCTATCCTTAAGTTAACTTTAAGGATTTATGGAGACGGTGGAAGGGTTTTTGAAAACAATTGGGGAGGGGGTAAATTTTTGCGCAGGCGGGTGGGTAGAACTTTTTCCTAAATTTTAAAATAATATTTTAACTTTTTTAAAAATGACATGCGTCCCTTAACCTTTTTTTAGCATCTATTATTGTGTAGGCACCTAAAAGTGTAACGGAGAAAACATGAGACACCTAAAAGTGTAAAAGAGAAAACGTTAGACATTTATTTTTAACGAAAAATTACTTAGATACCTAAAATTAACTTAGAGTATAATTTGGGTACTTATTCTTACATTAAGCCTTTAAATGGTAATGGAATAAAACGGGTTACCCCATTTTGGTAGGTAATATTTCTGGAATATGAACTAGAAAACTTCGAGTTTGGTTGTATAATGTATTTTGAGGTAATAGATAACACAATTTTTCTGGTAGTGGCTTATCGATCATGTTATATTATAGTTCCTACTCAGGCATTGGAACTAGGCTTTTTTTTTTTTTTTTTGTGATTAATAACTGGTCAAAGTTATAGATTGGAAGAAAAGAAAATGTTTTTAAGGGCTATGTTTACTAGGTCTTTTTGAAGCAAAACACACTCTTTCATATATAAATTCACATGATTCTTTGAGAATGTAGAAGCAACAAAAGCTGTAAAAATTACTCTTCACAACTCAGGAACCTTATCTATGCCTACAGCGTATACGTTTATATATAAATTCATATTACAACTTCTTCATGATACACCAGACCATTATAAGACCTGTAAAAACAATTGCAGCAAACAATGGCACAAAAGAAAGAGGAATTGTTCACATTCTGTGTGTGTTTTCTTTTTCCATGTCAGAATGAAATATCCAACATCATGCTCAAGCTCTCCATCATGGCATTTTCCATGAATCCACAATAGTTGAAACTGCTGAGCCTCGGCTCTCGAATGAGCAAGACGAGAGTGGAAGGATCGAGATGTTCTCATGGTTGCAGAGCTAAACCATGTATCCGTCCAGATCATGGAAGAACACTTGATCAACCCTATTCCCTTCATCTTCAACCACCTACGTCACGTACATGTCTTCGAGCCTCCTCTTCAAGAGCCCTACGTCCCTACACAATTGCACCACGAACAGTTTCAACATAAACATTTTTGTAATCAATGATACAAAGTAGAGTTGCAGGATGGGTTTTCTGAATTATCCTTGGGGATTGATCAGTTGTGGTTCGACGATCGTGTCGAAATCATCGATCAGTGGATTGTCAATCAAGTGAATACCAATGCCATAGATATAAAACTGGCATGAGATCATAGAGGATGATGAGTCGTTTAATGTTGGGGAACTCAAATTCAAGTAACTATCAGGAAGTTCCCTTGCAAGGTCTCTATACAATGGATAACTTGCATTTAATGCTATACTACCACCTTTGGCTTTGTCACAAACTGTAGTCCAGCTACCATTAATAGAAAGAATATTTTCATGATCTACAACTTTAAAACAACTTTTGCTGTTTTAGTGTAAGACATAATTGTTTGGTATCTTGATGTATATGGAAGCAAAGTTGTATTCTTGACAAGGCAAATATAAGCCAAAAAAGGACAAGGATAATACAAGGACAAAATTCAAGTTTTCAACTGATACAGGGAAGCCATAAAGGCAATCTGTGGCTTTTCATGTTAGTGTTTACCAAAATGGAGAAGTAAATAAAAATTAGTGTATTCCGTTGCCGGGACTTGAACCCGGGTCTCTCGGGTGAGAGCCGAGTATCCTAACCAACTAGACTACAACGGATTGTTGACCTATTTGTATAGTTATAAATAGTATTCAATATATTTATTTGTCAGTTTCCGGCGAGCTTCCCCATTCGTTGCATCACTTCCCTAATCTATGCTTACAGCATATATATATATATATATATAAATAAATCCCGATTACATCTTCATGAACCAAGACACACAAGACTGTAACTAGCGTACTTTCGAAAAGAGAAAATTAATTTTAATGAACAATCTAAATTAAGGCTAAGAAATCCCACATTTGAATTCTTTCATTATTTATTTCACCATTTTCTTTATCACTGTCATTTTGTCATTCACACTGTTTCTAAAACCACTTTTTATTTACTTTTGCAGTTAAGCCAAATGATATAAACAAGGAGATGACTTACTAAACCTCTCAAGTCCATGTCGATCGATCTTATTTCTCTATACTAAAATTTAATTTTATTAGATATTAGGAACTTTCACTTGACGGATTCGACACCTTGTAATACTAAAGTACGAGTGTAAGCATTTTTGCTCTCACCTCTGTGATGTTATTATCCCATTCGTCAAGGAACTCTATGCTCATACAATGATTGATGTACAAACCTTTTTCTTCATGCGAGGAAACCTAATCCCTTTAACTGCTGCAACAATCATCGCTAAATACAGGCTGTTGGAGGTTGTTGATGAGAACTTTGAATTCGTCAATTTTATTCCCGGTGAGAAGTTCAATGGGATTTTGAAGGACTTGACTGTTAAGGGTACTAGTCCTAGCTGGGACATCTCTAAGCAGGAAGCTACATAGTGGAGAGTAAGTTCTTGAAACCGGGTGTTAATGCACTTGTGAACTCTTATTTTTGGAATGAAAACTAAATACATATTCTTGCTAATAATATATAGATGGCTTGAAATTATTTTGGATGCGTCAAGAGGTTGTTGAGAAGAAGAAATATACTTGAGCATGATTATTGAAATGCATAAGCAGGATTTTGAGTCATTGTATTGCTCTAGCAGTAGGATTGCATTATTGCATTTGCATTTGCATTGTATGTTAAGATCATTTAGTTGCAGTGCTTGAAGAACAAACAATGGGTTCAGTTTGGGGGTGTGATAAAGCTCTTAAAGAGATCATTCACATCTTATTCTTAGGTTGTACGTTCTTAAGCATAATTTATGTTACTTTTGCATTATAGGTTAGGTTTTTAGTAAGTGTGCTTAATTGCTTGAACAGGCTAATTTTGTGCATATATTGGTTGAGCTGTGATAACAGGATAAGCTGAAAGGTCGAAGCATCCGTAAGAGATTAGTGTTGAAGAAAGGAAAGAAATAAGGAGAAAGAGCAATGTTGCGACAGAAGAAATCAAAGCCAGCCAAAATACGTATAGTCCATGTCAACAAGGTGGTAATAACAAATTCGTCATATTGAGTAGGACGAGATGAGATCCTGTGTGCAAAAAGGGAGGACCAATCATTGGATTCTTGAGCTTCAGGCCACCTCTGCAGGAGAAGGGAGAGCTGTGAAGGCTACACGAGGGCAGATCGATTATGTGTATTCCTTCATCGAGGCTGATTGGAGATACCAAGACTGCTCTTTTTCTTTCTTTTAAACTCTCACAAATTCTTGATTTTATGTTGTTTAATTGAGGATGATATGTTATCATACATTTTTTGTTGCAATTGATGAGGATGTTTGGATATTATTGCAATTATGAATTAAATTTTAAGCTTGTGATTATGTTTCATTCCATTTGTGCCTAAATCAATATTCAGACATGGAGATCTGGTGAGTGATGCTTAAGCACTCGGGAGGATAGCTTTTGTATGATACTCCCTAGAAAGACATTATTCTTAGCACAATACTAATGGATGTTACTTCATGCCTTCAGTTCTAAGCCTATAGGGACATAACTCCTTAGGAACTAACTACAATGCTACTGCGTGTAATGCAAAAAAAAATTACTTACTACAAAAATTCATAGTAGTATAAACAAAAATAAGATTCTACATTATCAATAGATTATCGATAAATATGTGGTGAATAGAAAGTAATATCTCCTAAACTCTCAATGGGTCAAATTTAGATGATGTTCGTACTCTGCACTGCTTCAGCCTATAACCAGAATATAATTTGTTGTTTCACAAATTTTCAAGAAACATGGTCAGCTACATACCCAAAAGATGTGATACACATAAACATATTCATAAATATAATCAATATAACAAAATTGTTTAAATCTTGTAAAAAAAAGAAAGAAAAAAATTCAACTAAAAATAGAGGTCGATGTTTACCGAAACTTGAAATTAAAATTTGAACAAAGCACTCAGAATGAAAAGGACTTTATAAATTTAGAATTTCAAAGATCTACCGATCTCAATCTCTATATTACTCAAAAAATTCATCATCGTGCCCAATAATAATAAATAAATAAAGCATGTAAAAATGACAAAACAGCGAAATCTCTAGGTTTTAGAGGGGAGAATAAAAAAAGTAAGTGAAATGAATAAAAAAATCATCAGAGAACATTGGATGAATGCATCAGACAGACACCGCACTTAGAGGTATCTCAGACGACCGTCGTGAGAAAATTTATCCAATCTCATCATCTGATTTTCATTTCACTTTCCACTATTATTCTAACCAATAAAATATCAAAACCGCATAGGAAAAGAAGATAAGCTAATAGAGAAACAATAAAATAGCATAAATCATTTGTTCGGAAATCGTAGCAGCCGTGAATACCTTCGGCTTGTTTTGGAGGGCTATTTAATGAGCGAATTAGGGTTCTCAATGTTTATTAACTGACGATTCTACCCCTTTATGGTCTGGGTCGGCATCTTTTTATATCATTTTTAAATAAATTAATTAAAAATATTTTTATATTCAAACATGAGGCTATAAATACGAATACAAATCTCGCCTCTAATTATTTATTTAATGAATATTAATAAATACTTTTTAAAATAATATTTTTTATTCATTCTGAAAAATATAATATAATATAATACAAATATTTTTAATATGATGCACTACTAATATATGAATATATTATAGATTTTGTGTTTGATGATATCTGAGATCCTCAATCAGAAGCTATCAATATATAATATACGATAGATTATATAAATGATCATTAATATTTGAATAAATTTCTCTTTTATTCACTAATATTTAAAAAGAAAAGATTTAATATTAACATTATCGATTTATAAAATATCGATCTCTCACCTTTAAAGGTCGTGACTGAAATAATAAAATATTGATGTGATATATTAGACCAGCCATGTTGAATGACTGTTTGACTCCCGTTAAGGCCGCTTCTTTAACGAAACATCTTAGTGTATCCAGACAAGAACAACCCAAAGAATCAAAATGTTTCAAGAAGAAAGCCGGCAAGAAAGGGTCCGATTCTGCCGATGTTGTTGAGGAGGTGAAGGATGACGGAGAAGACGAAGAGAAGCAGCTTCTCCAGTGACTATTTAGTGACTAGAGGCCAACATGTGACATTTGAAGAGCTGTGTTTATTTGTAGTAGTGCACAAGTGCATGTAGAAATTATCTTGCCACGGGATATTTAGCATTTCCATGCTATTAATAAATTGATAAAATTTACTTTCAAGTAATTTTATATTTCCCAACTGAACAGTAATTTTATATTTCTGTTAATAAACCAAACAATAATGTTACAATAATCTTATTCTCAAAAAGATAATATTACATTTCATGAATAATAAATGTTGACATATGTATAGGTAAGACCAAGTCTATATTAGTACAACGTACAAAAATGTCGATCAAAATACAGCATTAATAAACAAAAATCAACCATTTCTCTGCAATCTTAGTCTCATCTTGGGAATTTTCAATTTTCAATTTTGGAGAACATGCAAGACAAACCAGGAAGATTTCAGATGCCAACAAGCTTCAGCAGAAAAGCACTTCTTACCAAAGTAATCATCCAGAAGCAATGCACTTTCATCTACATGGGACCTTCAGCCACAACATTCCCCGTCACCGTAGCACAAAAATTGTGAACTTTTTAGTCAAACCAAAGTTTCAAAAATACATGGACTTAACTACTGCATTGGAAAACATGTCAATTACGGGCACTTTCGTCAGTGACAGATTCAGAAATGTTTTTGAAGATGGACACACATGTATATTTCAGGGTGGACACAACTTTTAAAATAGATGAATGTAAAAATTACTAGGCAGAAGAATATTCAGCAGTGATAAAAGATTATTAGCAAATACTCATAGTGAGCACATGAATGGGTTAATGTGTTACCTGAGAGCAATATATCTCCTTATACAATTAGACATTGGCAGCAACGTCATTATCATTCTGCGATTCTTTGTTTTTTGACCTTTTAATCTGATTATTGTAGCTCAAGGGAGTTGTTGCTCCCTCATCAACAGTTTGTCCGCCAACGATTCTCTATCTCTACTCTTCATAGCACTCCTACAGAATTCTACAACATTTACATTAAAACCTTTGCAAGTTGATTGCAGAAAGGTTGCTATAAAAGAACGCTCGAGTTATTTAAAGTCTATCAGAAATCTCCTCCAAATTTCTATCCACCAACATATGCTTCCGTGTGAGCTGGCATCAGAGATCCAGTGATTCAAGTATTTCCTCGTCGAAACTGCAAAGAATCAGCATAAAAAATCACGTGATCAATGTGTTGTAAATCTCCAGTAAATATCAACTTGACTTGATGAACTACAATGAAACGTTATTGATTAGAAAAGCAAGTAGAACCGAGACATAAAGAATAAATAAGATTATAAGATCCAATGGCTTGTAATGAAATAAAATGAAAGAGTGACAGATGAAATCACAAAGCAAGGAGGCAAGATATCAATACACGTACTGAAAATCTAAATTACCTATTATTTAGACTTGGCCTTAATTACAAACATAGATATTTGATCAATGAACAGAACAAATAAGCTACTACTACAATCTAGATAGTAGAATAAAATAAGCCAAGTAACTATAAAGAATACTATTTATCTCCAGCTTACAATAAAACATTGATGGTCACCAAACAGTACAACTATGAAAAAACATACGCCATTCTTAAAATTAAAAGGGATAGTTTTCTTTTGAAAGGAAATTGTCACCTCTTGAATAAAAACGGATCATGGTTCCAACCTTTATGACATGCCACTTGTGAGATTTGACAAATAGTTCATCCTCGTCTTTCTATGATACAATAAGAAACTAAAGTTATTAGAGTAATAAACGAAGTATCTTGCCATATAAACATGCAACCCCAAAAAAGAAAAAGAACAAGGTAGAGAAGTGTTACATTTCTATTTTAAATTCTCCACCCATGTTTTCGGCTGTTATGATAGCAGATGAAAAACCAAGAACAATGGCATGAATAGATTCTTGACAAAGCTTCACTACCTTCCCCTCTGAACATGGAAAAGAAAATAAGTTTAGACAGTACCATAGACCCTGCAGATTCATTAATGCATACAAGCAGTGTGATATCCGCTACCAGAAAAAGTAAATAAATAACTTGAAATATCATGATAAATTACCTATGATCATATCTGGCTTTGGTGAAAATAGTAGGAGATTTGCTTTAAGTTTAAGATCAAAGTATGGATGAACACCGGAAAGAATTTTTGCCTTCTTATCAGGAATATGAACATCATAAGCCAATAAAACACCATCAAATATTTCATTGAACTACAAGAAAAAGGCAGAAACACTTTGTAACGGGACAAGGAAGAAAATATTAAAATATCATTTAATTACTAATTTACTATTATCATCACCGTCATCATCAACACCATTGCAAGTGAAGTTCATTATGACATAACCAATGTAACTATGGAAAAGTTTATTACTGTTAATAGCAGTTAAATTTCCCCTGTCTACAAGCTTATAATTAACAGTAATAAGCTTCTCCATTTGTTTATAAGGACCCCAGTATCATTTGGATTTAGATCCCATAAGATGTTATAAATCATACGCTTCATCCTAAGAAGTTAAATTTCCGCTAGAATAGAAAACTGAGTTCTACATTAGTCAAACTAAGGGTGTAGTTTAATTAAATCGCAAGCAATATCAACACAAATTGACGGCTTTTGGTAAATGGGAAAACAATAAAGAAACATTAAGGCATTCAAGTAATAAAAGAACGAACTTGAAGAGCCAAGAGCCAAGGTCACGGAGGATCGCCTGGGAAACATTCCTACACTTGTGAGGGTGTAAGTAGACCACCAAATTAGCATCTGCTACGCTTACTCCTTCCATTTCAAACTGCAATCAATGCCCAAAACTGAAAATGAGGATTTCGTCTGGATTTTCTTCAAAGGAGGCACAGAGAAAACCCTGAACATGAAAAACCCTAACTGACAGCCATAATTACAACTCACCGGTATTTGAAGTTTGAACAGCTTTACTTTGGGCCTAAAAACCATGACATCCATATCAGAAATATATATTTAGGCATTACATTTTAAATACATTACAAAATATTGGGGTTGTTATTCTGATTATAAATTAATATTTATTTAAAATAAAATTTAATCATTAATAATTATATATATTTTACAAATAAATATAAATGTTCGAATGTAAAATATTTAAAAAAAAACAACTCTCTTTTTAATCATTTGATAAGTACTTTCTACACATATTGTACATTTAAACACGTTTAAAACATATTTCTTGTATGCTAAAATAATAATTGGTAAATTAAGATTCATTAATATTATTATAATTTGAACAATTGTTGAGAATAATACATATTTTAAGTTTTATTAAACTAAAAAATAATATGTATCTATTCTAAGAATGACTTATTTCGACCACGTAGACTTAAATTGGATAAATTTAATATTTGTTGTCAGATAATATTATCTTATCAATGACGTCTTATCCAAAAATAATTTTAATCTAAGTAATCCAGCACACCGCACGTTCTACTAAAACCACCCATAATTTTGGATTTAACTGTGCACGATTTTAGACTTTTAAAAAATGATTAGGTGAGGTTTTTTATAACTATAATAAATTGGATAATTACATTTTAAATGTCTAACATTTTATTCATTCTACGTTTAGTCCTGAAACATGTCATTTATTCCTAAATTGACCCCTATTTAAATAAAAATTAATTCACATATTTGTTTAATACTATATAATTTAATCTAATATTGTTAAGTGACGTTTGATTCGCTGGAATGTTTCTGAGGGAATTAGAATCTGTCAGAAATTGGAATCCAATTTCATATTCTGTTTGGTTGACAAGAAATTGAATTGGAATTCAATTTCATATTTTGTTTGGTTCACAGACATATCAGATGAATTTGATTTCAATAATGTAAAATGACATAATTGCCCTTCTTGTTTTTTTTTTCTTAATTTTAGTTATAAATTATATGTAGCAATAAATTATAAAAATTTAAAAAAAATTAAATTTTAATTTATTGATTGATTATTTATTTCAATAAATTATAAAAATCATGCTAATAAACATCATAAGTTAAAATCATCCCAATTAGAGATGGACATAGGTCGGATTGGGTCGGGTTTTTGGTCCACCCGACCGAGAACAAGGGAACCTCCATACGAGACCTGACCCGACCAAATAAAATTTCACCCTACCAACCTGAATATATGAATAGAACCCGACCGAAATAATAAAAAATTATTTTTATTCAATAAAAACAATGACTAATTGGAAATATATATATATATATAGAGGTTTATTGTAATATTACTAAATATAAGGTAAATATATATTTTTTGGGTCGGATCGGGTATTTTTCACCTAAACCCGACCGGAATTACACTTAAAAAAATGACCCGACCACAAAATAATGTTTCATCCGACCCGACCAAAATAAAGTTTCACCCGACGACCGAAATATGAATTAGAAATTCAACCGACCGAAATAATAAAAAAATATTTTTATTCAATAAAAACAGTGACTTAATTGAAAAAAAATTATATAGAGGGATATTATTATAATTATTCCTAAATATATAAGGTAAAATTATATATATTTTCGGATCGGGTATTTTTCACCCTAAACCCGAACTCGACCTGACTCGAATATCACACTTAAAAAAATCGACCCGACCTGACCAAAATAAAGTTTCACCCGACCCGACCTGAATATATGAATTAGAAACCCGACCCGAAATAATAAAAAAATATTTTTATTCAATATATGAATAAGTTACCAAAAGATTGATGAGGATAGTATGGTCAAATTTTAATTTCCTCCAACCAGTGAATTGAATTCCAAGGGAGTGTAACGGAGAGGCAGATAGCTTAGCAAAGAAAGGGATAGATTGATTGTAAGGGTCTATTTGTGGTTTTCTTGACTAAGTATGTAGGTTTTTATGTTGGGAGGAGTGTTAAAGTCTTATGTCAAGCAATTTAGTGTTATTTTTAACTTTTATGTAACTTTCAATATTAATAAAAGTTCTAAGGCACTCTTTTCCTCCTTCCTATGATTAACTCCTTCCTATGATTAACGACCTTTCTTCAAGGTCTTTAAATTAAGAAGAGGGGCTTTTAACAGGGACTTATTCCTATCAAAAAAAAAAAAAATGGCACATTATTTCTTCCAAAGTGACATCCAGTAAGATGGGCTGAGGTCAAGACAGAGTTGAGTTACTGTTTCTTCTCTTCTGCTTTCCTGGCTGAAAAAAAAAAAAAAAAAACAAACAAAAACGTATATATAAAACGGTAGTATATGTATTTGGAGAGATTAACAAAATAACAGCATTTTAGCAACCGTTTTTGTTAGAAAATATAAACAAAAGACAAATGCTAGGAAAAAACTATTAATCAAACAGGGTTGATATGCTTAAGCTTGTCATTTAAGCAAACACGATGTTATAGAGCAGATGATGATCAAACTCAACCTCGTTACGTGATAATTCCATATATCCTACCAAGACATACCAGTTATTCGACAAAATGCCTCTACCAACAAATGAAGCAACCAGAAGAGAAAATGCCCAGACCTTGGATCCAGGAAACGATTGGTGAAGCTCCTCCTCGGGTATAATAACGGGCCACTTCTCGCCTGCATCACGGAACATTTGCTCGGTCTCAAGGAACTGCCTTTTTCGAGGATCATGTTCCGTACGGTTTGAGCAGGAGTCGATGTTGGCATCGAAAACTTCCTCACTCCGTTGACGAAAGTAACTGTGATTTGGGGAGGGTGATCGTCCGTACGGCGCTTGACCTGGAGTGGCAGGAGGGTTCGACTCTTTGGCTTGGCGGGCGTTGCACTGGGCTAAGAACTCCATGCATGAAGCTATGCGTGGGGTCAGTGCATTGAACTCGATCTTTACTTTCGAGAGAAATTCAACATCTTCTCCTTTCGTCTTTCTTAGTAGAGATTCCAGAGCTGGATTGTTATGCTAGCTCTGCTTTTTCAAAGCACTAACCCAGTTCCAAGGGAAATGGGGTAAGCTCTACTGTATTCGATTCATATATAGTTAGTCTTTGGGTTCTTTCTGGCCTTCTTGTTTTAGTTTAAGCGATTGAAGGGACCATGACAAAATCATAAATATATTTAAAAATAATTACAAAGATATAAACCATAAACCACGATTTTCAATTTCTTAATTCCTTTGGTCAGCCTCAGGCAAGGGTCAAAGTTTTAACTGTTAATGAACTATTCACACATTTAAATTTATAATATAATTTTCTAAATTCGTAAATCACGAGTCAGGATCCATGTTGTACCGTAATATGCATTTATGTAACGTTTTCACTCGATCCAAAGCAAAGATACACACGTTTAAGTATGAATATCTTAATGCTTGATGCAAAGGAAGAACAAACAAAAAGTGAGTAGTAGAATTATAATATTTGCAAAAAGAAGCTAGCGAATATATGCTAAAAATAAAAAGCAAGTGAAGGAATAAATGTAGAGCTGCAGTATGCTTTTTGCATGTGAAAAAGGCGTTCGTGCTCTACCATTTCTAACTGCTTATTTCTCCATCCATTTTCATTCTCTTTGCATTCGGTGCCTCTGGGACATATTGCCACTGTTCTGGAGGGCTGACGAATCATGTGGTATGCGCAATTGGCTCCGTTCCTGCATCCCCTGGCGTGTTAAAGTACATGCAAGGCTCATTATCTTTGGCCTGAATCTCTCGGTTGGTATTGTCTATTAGTCTTGGTTCAGTCTTACGTGCTGATTGTACGGCTGTGAACTTGGCCGGTTCTTGTCTTTCTCCTCATGCTGCAGAATCAAGTTTTTGTAATAGTTTACATCCTTCTTCTGGGGAGTCCAGCAGCAGGTGAAGCTGTAACTGGATGGACACTGGGAATGGGGCTTTGTTTATTTAAAGGTCCAACTCCAACCCGTTTGACTGAGGATAAAATGCTCCGCCAGATGTAGCTGATAAGGGGCAATACCATTTTCTGTTCTATTGATGTGGGCAGGAAATGGGTGGAGTGATGGGTTGGAGTGATTTACAGGTGGGGTGGGTCAAGAGAAGGTACCAAAGGGGATGGCATTTCAGTTAAGCTTTGAGCACCTGAAGCTGCTCCATGATCAGTAACTAATTTCTCAATCAATCTTGGGTTGCTGAGAATTTTAACGAGCAAGTCAGGATCAATCATGTTCCCGGGTTCATTGCTTTGGTTAATCACTGCAAAGGCAGCTGCTGCTACACCAGGTTCAACATTAACAACCATTCCAGCATCTGGTTTTTCAGCCGAAGCACTTGAAACACTCGGCATACTGCAATGAAGATTATGTAAAATACCAGGAGGCAACATCTGGGGCTGTGAGTTAAGGAGAGTTTCAATTGCTGCATCCTCATCTTCGATAGGAGTGACGGGTATTTGAGGAGTTAGCTGATCGTCATAGTAGCAATTTCCTATGTCTGCTGAAACAGAAGGGCTGCACAAGGAGAAAATTTAGTCTCATGGAAAAGTAAAACCAAGAGAAGTAGGTTATAGAAAAACCCACCCAACAACCCGTCAAAAAGAGAAAAAAGAAAAGTATCAAACTTTGTAGGAATTGCAGATGGGCGTGGATAAACAGCTTCAAGCACTCTCACTTCTCTCTGATTTTGAATCTCCACCTCTTTACTTTCCTCTCCAGCAACCACTTGCCAATTCAAGTCCAAACAAACTGTGAAATGCAGATTAAGCTTTTAAGTAAATGTATGGGAGCAATAATAAAAAATCAACCTAAAATGCAGATTAAGATTTAGAACAGTTACTCCGAGAGGACATCTCCATTTAATGACAGGAATTTCCAACAAGTTAATCTGCAGATGATTTGTAGAATGAGCTCCTTCAAATCCAGGCTGCCCATTTGAATGTGATACCAAAGAGGTTTTTTGCTTGGAGGTGATCTTGACCACCCGCCCAACTTGTGACGGTGAATCCTCCGACAGAAACAGTCTTATCTGTTAGAGAAGCATTTATATATTCTGCTCGTCATCTCCGATAAGATAGGATTGTCAAATGTTCAAACATCATTTTATTGTACAAACACCCTCTGGCAACTAAACTGAAGAGAGGTTGCATAAACAGAGATGGTTTTTAATAATATTTATATATACAAAAACTTTTTTGCAAAAATAAATCAAAATGCAAGCAGAATTAACTACAGCATCTATGATGCTGATATGTGGCAGCGATTTCGTCATTTCTCACTGATAGCTACAATCTTTGAACTCTCACTAAGCATCGTCTGAGATTAATAAATCTCACAGTGAATTTCAATTGCTTACCTTCGAAAACTTCACCTATACTGTACAATTGGAAGCAGAATAAAATCTAGTATTATCTACTACTCTAGTTTAGTAAATTCCTATAGTTGGAAATGCTAGGGCCAATTCTATAAGCAGCCTATAAACTTAGTAGACAGAGAAGTATTTGCCACTAGACAATTAGATGACTAAGATGGCAGCAACAATGCATTTTGTCACGAATGAGATACTATGAAACCATACATCTAATCAGCCTAGTAGATTTAGATGAAGATTACCAATCAACAGATAAGTTTATCATCCGAAATATTGAGCAAAACTGCTTTCTTCACTCTCATAACTTGACTCGTTAGAGAGACAGTTGGACCTACTCTATACTACCTTAACAGCATAGATTGCCCTTTTTTGGTCTCAAAACCTTTGGCAGACAGCATTTCTGAAATCTCACATCAAACAACAGTAAAAAAATCAATTCTAATTAGTTTAGACTACATGCCCTTTCAATTTATAAGAACATCATGCACCTAAGAATAGAGATTCTAAAACTAGAACTCTCCACGTGAAACTAATGGTACTTTCAAATAGTTTAGGACTCTGGGAAAAAGTCAATTACTTCAGACACTGTGAAAAACAGTTAACCATCCTACATGTAAAAAAAACATATGGGAGGCTTTTCTTATAACTACAAGCACTGATATAAGTCGAGACTTCAGAAGTAAAGCAATATAGAAGAATTCATTAACTTAACATGCAACCTAATCCAGTTCCATGGAGATTTTACAGTTGTATTCTGGTTATGTTATCGAGCTCTGCAAAGATGAACATTTTATGAATTGACATGCTAGGGAAGCTAATCAATGGCATTTTTAGCATTACTGGCCTTTTTTAATATGTGACAATGAAAGTCTTTCACCATTTCAGTCCCTCGTTCCTGTGTCTAACTAGCATGACAAATCCGAACTATATTAACTGCTTTGTTCTCATAAAACATAAAGGTGCGAATTAGACATAATACAACAATGGCAACACCAAAATGAAAACTCATTCGAAATCATGCATTTCCAGAACACAAAAAAGGAACTAAAATTGACCACCAAAAAGGTTCAAATGCAATTCAAGAGAGAGAGAGGGAGCAATGGATAAAAGTTATTGAAAAAATCACACCAGAAACAAAACAAACAAAAGGGTTCACACAGCTTCATTCTCCAAAATTCTGGTTCACTTCAACTTAAAATTTTGTACACTCCGTTCCACTTCTCTATTTAACCTGAAATGGACCTCAAAACTAGAGAACTTCCAAAGAAAAATTGCAATTTTACCTGACAAAGATTAACGTCTGATGCCCAAGTAACCCTTTTTGTCTTGTGCATCCTCGCATATTTACAGATCGCAAAAAATACAATATACTATCCAAAGAGAGAGCGACCCTAAAACGATCATTTTCCGGCCCCGATTCTCCAGTTAGGGTTGGGTCATTAAAACCCAAACTCCCAAAGAAAGAAGAAAAGAGCCTCAGCCGTTAAATCAGCATACCCGTTTTGAAAACCACAAGTGTAAGAAAGAAAGAAAAAGGCAATCGATTCAAAAACCTCACATATGTATTTCCGATTACCTAATGTTTCGAGAGGGAGAAATCCACGGTAACCCTAGAACGGTTTCTCATGGCTTGCCGTTTTTCTGTCTGATTTATTTCCCGAAATCTTCTTTTTTAAATATGTGTATTTTTCTTTCTTTCTGGGCTTCTGTTTGTAAAAGGGATGACGCGCGCAATCTATTGACGCGTCGAAGTGGAGGGGTGTTGAGATTGCTCGTGGTGTATGTACACGCGCACTAAATGCAAGTGCGTTTAAAAACAGACTGGATTTTTGGATTCACAAGACCATATTCTGACCATTGCTTCATTTCTTTCCTATTTTTCATCACACACGATGATTTTGGACTAACGATTTAGCTCGTAACACGTAAAATTCGAACTTATAATGGATATAATTATTCTTTAAAAAATATAAATAATTATTAGAGTAATTATATACACAATCACTTATATTTGAGTAAATTTTATTTTTATTGATATTTTAAAATTAATAATTTAATTATAATATTATAAAATTTTAATAAAAAATTATACATAATTAGTTGTTAACTAAGATGACAGAATACTGATGTGTCGCGTTAACTAAGTGACTTGACACACAAAATCAATTGTTTGATTCCCATAGATTGTTCCCTACGTTACAAGTTTACTTAGTTTCCTTCTTTTCCCACTTAATTTACCTTATGTTATTCTTTCTTTTCAGCCTCTTCCATTAAATGGACCTATGATATCATTTAGAGAATAAAAGTATCACTTTTCTCTTTTGGTTATTCAATAGGTTGAATCCATCACTTCAAGTAAAAAAAAACAAATTGTATGATTAGGAATTTTGATAATGTATTGAATTTTTTTGTTTGGAACGTAAGGAACTGATGATTAGTCAAAATTATATCATGATAAATCAGAACATCAACCATGCCCAATTATATGCAACAACAAAAACAAAACATACTAGAAATGCAAGAAGGAGAAAAAACAGCGTATAAAACCTTTTTGACATATTTTGGATCTACAAATGTCGTCTCAACAAGATTCTTATTTTCCTTAATCTTTTAAGATTAAATTCATTGAATTCACTACTTCTAATCTTAAAGATAAATTTACTTTAATTTGCA